GGGGGGGAGGAAGGGTGGAATAATTTAAATTTTAATTACCAATCAAATAAGTACTGTTTTCCTCTTTAAATCCCACAGAATATTCTTTGCTATGGAACTAGATTTAAGAACATAAGAAAGAAAATTCAGAAGTGTGCATACCATGTCAATAAACTTTTCCTGTGGAGTTGGCCTTATGAGGAAAAGGTGTCTGTGCTGCCTTTACACCTTCCTGGTAATAAACAGCTGACACAAAGAAAGATGTCCTCTTTCTTTCCCTCTGTCTGCCCATTTGTCACACTAACGAAGTATCCACACTGTGGCTTCAATACCCAGCACGGAGCTATGGATTTACTGAAAAGAGGACATGTACAGTACCCTGGCGTGTGCCAGCCCACTCAGCTCTCTCTGTACTCTCTCCTCTCTCGTGCAGCCCCTCATTTCTGCTTCCTGTCTCCTCACAACATCTACATGCAGCCTCACTCTCCGTTAGGTTTGTAGCCCCCAGTTCTGCAAGATTATTTGGAACAGAACATTTCTTTCCGGGGTCTGTTCTGGTGTCCAAAACAACGTGGGAGGCTGTTCACAACGGGAATGTTGCTCTCCCTTCTGTCACACCGAGTTCACTTAGTAAAGTACATTTGGTTAGTAGAGTTCATCACCACTTGTCTCACTAGAAGAGCTCAGCACAAGCATCGCCTATCTGATTTCACCACTTCTTCTGAAGAGTGCACTACATTTGGGACAAACCCGCTCTTTACCCCTTCCCATCCCTCCTGGATTGAAATGTCCCCCCTTTTAACAAGCTCGTATATATCTCGAGTCAGATCAGTGAAGGCCTTCTCCACATTAATGGCATCCCGAGCAGAGGTCTCAATGTACTTCATACCATATGCAGCAGCCAGTTTCTCAGCCTCGTGCCTGGTGACTTGCCGCTGCGTGTCAAGGTCACACTTGTGCCCTACCAAAACAAAGACGATCTGGTACGGCTGGACGTGCACCTTGGTCTCCTCTAGCCACTCGTGGACATTCTGGAAGGACCTGCGGTTTGTAATGTCAAAGAGGAGGAGTCCGCCAACTGAGTTCCTGTAGTAGGCTCTGGTGATGGACCTGGAAACGAATAAGCCACAACAGAAGTCTAAGTTACAGCTGTTTGTGAAGAAGGGCAGAGGAGTTTCACATGGGGTTTTGTTTGTTTGCTTGTGCCTTCTGATTACTTTTTTCTTAAGTCAAACATAGGCCTTCTGAACATACATCTTTGTTTAAGAAAGCAGCATTACCACCACCCTGTCTACCCTGCAAAGAGAGGGCAGAGGGGCCATTCAGACAATGTCTTAGCACTTTTAGCCTGTGCTCTGTAGAGCTTGTCCTTCAAAAAGACACCTAATCTTGGCTTAAAGACTTCATCCTTGGGTAACGGCCCCATTTGACTTATTACAGCTCCGTTCAAAATCCCCACCACCATTTTTGGTCTCTATATTCTACCATGAATTTCCATATGCCCTTTGCTGTTAGTCTCAAGAGCCCCATCCCCCGCCTCTGAATACTTTGTCTAACCCATTGGTTTAGAAGCGCTGTAACAAATCAAAGGATCCATCTGAAACCAAACACCCACTCTCTGACACATACATAAAAGCAGGAGACTGCAGATCTGGGAGGCGAGCCATGGGGTTGTAGCTCCTCTGCACACACACGGGGCCGTGGCACGGGGACATCCATCGACCCCTACACTTTCTTCCACTATGCCACTGGTCAAACCAACAGCACACACCAGTACAGCTGATGCACTAACGGGAGCTGCCATCTGACCCCCCGAGTAACAGCAAAATCATACAATGGCTTCCCAGGGGAACCTGCACTACTGTTGGTCTTGTTCCTGCCAAATACTGACGACATTAAACAGTAACTAAAAAGACCCCCGAACCACGGGCTGAGGAGTGGAGCGCATCTTCCACAACTCTTCTCAGCAAGGGCAGACGCCAACGTGGAAGAAGCAGCACAGGAAGCCTGCCAACGCAGGGCGACGGAGCGAAGCCGAGAGCACGAGGCTGAGCAGAGCTACAGTTCAATGACTACTACACATGGAAAAATCAAGAAGCTGTAAAACTGTGCTGTTTCTGCAAAGTCATGGATTCATTCTAAATCCAGAAGCAATGATCGATTTCAGTCCCTGGAGGAATTCACACTTGGGCCTGAACTTTCCTTGCCGGGAAAACATAAGCACTGCTGCGTTTTTACCTTGGGACAAGTCCTTTTTTTAGACATGCAAGACTGTTATTAGGGGTTACTTGGTCCTGTAACGTGTGAATTTAGCAAAACTGCCCCAAGAAAGGATGAACTGGAGTTTTCAAGGATTGCTTTATCAACAGACATGCAGTGACAGGTGAAAACCCACAGCCAAAACTGAAGAAAGCCAGAAGAGGGGGGGGGGAAGATAGTTGGCTGCGTTTGGATAATTTCTCCTCTCCCAATTATCTGGCTGAGGGACAACAGTAGCTCTGCACATTTGGCACTGAGGGAATTAGATCTGCCTTTGCTATCTAGCCAGCTGCAAACAGATATTGGCTTTGAATTCACCCCCAGAATGTCACAGGCATTTCTGCTTCTCCCTTGAGTTCCATGCCATCAGTCCTGGCTCCTCCTGCCAACATCAACAACGCCTCAGGTACTTCTGAAAGACGTGACAGGATCTAAGCTGAATGCTGCTTTGAGGTAAAACTAGGTGAAGGTCTCGGTGCCTTTTCTTAAAGCCTTTTCCACAGCCCGTTTTCCTTACCGACCCCCAGGAAGCAAACTATTGCCTTCATGCTGCACCTCACTCCCCAGTTCCCTTCCAGGACTCCTACCTTCCCTCCTCCTGCCATGCTCATAAATGCTCGTGCAGAGCAGTACGGGGATTTGCACCTATTTGGCCAAGTTTTACTATAAAGGTATTGCCTCTGTCTGGGAGTCACTGTGTACCTGTGGTGGGGACTCCTGCACCTGAGGTCCACACCTGTTTGTTTGAGTCTTTCCTCTCAGCCAAAGGCGGGCTGCCAGCTGGAAGGAAGCAGCTCTTCTGTAGGTGGTGGTACACAGTTCCAGGGGGTGAGGGCTGCACACGCTTTTGCTTTTGTTAGTATTATACAACATCACGTTCCAGACAAGGAAATCACAGTTATCTGAGCAACCGGAGACGTGCAAAACCTGCTGGATCCAGGAAAACCTGCTCTTGTACAGCTCCAAAGCAGCCTCCCGGCAATACAGAATGGCACATGCTTGACTGTAATTTAAGCTTTGCCCGCACGGAAATTGCTTCTAATTTATGGAGAGTGAAAGAGCTCACAACAGGGGTCAGGAAGAGCAGAAACGTAGTGCAGCTGCAGACTAGAGAATGACAACAAGGTGTCTTCAAAATAACTACAATGATTTCTTCCTTGTGGGGCAGCCATTAAACCATGCAAAGCAGACTGGAAATGCTCAAATCAGAAAAGGCTGAGAAGTCGGAGTTCATTCTTACGAAATTCCTTCTTAAGAAATTCCCTGTGCTATGACAAAAAGAGTTCAAGGGTTCTGGAGAGAACCTGCATCATTGTGCTTCTTGCCTATGTCCCCAAATCTGAGAGCCCTCAGCTTATTTGAGTAATAGCTACATTTTGCCGTTTACCCAGAAAAAGAGCTGGCAGGAGGAGCCCAAGAGTTGCTGTCTTTATGGGGCATGATTTGTCAAAGTGCTAATGGTGATTTGAAAGAGATAAAGCCAAAACAGACTTCTGTGCCTGATTTTTTTCATCCCTCAGAGTGCACCATAAAGGCACCTGGGTTTGTTCACTTCCCTCTAGCCTTTCACATTGGGAATTTAAGACTGCAAGGGCATTTCAAAGTTGCATGATGTGTTTTTTTTTATGTCACTCACCGTTCCTGCCCCTTACACTCTTCCTGCCTTTGAATGCTGCTGCCCATCGCAGCACTGCAGCCTGCCCTTGCGCTGAAGGTCGCCTGCTCATCATCATTACAACCCGAGCGCCAGGCCGGGTCAACCACCAGCACTAAGGGTAAGCAGCCTCCAGGGCCCCAAACTTCCTGATGTGTAAAAGAAAGGAAATTGAAGCCATCCAACAGCTTTTGCTCTTCACAGCAAAGGCAGAAGCTAGGGAAGGCACCCAGGCCCATTTTTTCTACAGACCTCAGCCCAAGATGCAAAGCTGGAAGCTGATGCAACTGCAAGCAAAAGCACCTCCTCTCTCAGCAGAATAAAGCACCTGCTCCTCGCCCTGAAAGGCTGCAAGGTAGCAGAAGAAAAACCTGTCAGTAAGGACCAACGACTGCGCATCCTGGGCCACATGCCAGCGCCACAGATGCAAAGGCAGGCGGTGAGAGGGGTGAGGGTAGGGGAGGTTTCATCTATTGAATGAAACCAAAACATTCCTCAGGCAAGTCCCTACAGCACAGCAGCAGAAGCTCTATGAAACTGTGCGGAGATGTGGAGCAAGGACAGTGCTCCTGGAGGGAGCAGGATGAAAGAGAGGATGAGGGTTAAAGATGCACGAAAAATATAAGCAATCTGGAAGCAAGGAGCTGAGGGTACACTCACACCCCTTCCAAAGGAGCAGTGTCTGAGCAGCACACATCCCTGGGCAACACCAGCCCCCTGTGCAGTTGGGGCCAAGCCTGCTCCAACCCCGACTGGTGGTTTTATCACGCAGTTCTGTGGAGAACTCCTGGCACGGCCCCACACACTGCTTTTATTTTTCCTCATCGCGTCCCCGTTACTATGGCTTAAGCTCTCAAGCTGTTTGTGTTGGTGCGGTGCTCGGCCTGGCACTCTCCAGAAAGCACCATCCATCTCCGCACAGCCTCAACCGCGGGTTTGTCCCGGCCTTTCTCAGCCCTATGGGCAGCGGAGCAGAGAATCAGACCGGGAATTCCACCGCGTTCAGCGACCCTAAAGGTGAAACACCCCGGTGACTGCCTCTGCGCCACGGGGAGCAGGCGCCCTGCCTCCCCAGCTGCATCCTCCGCGCACAGCTCCCTGGCGGCTGATGGCTGTCAACATCCCCACAGCCCAGCGCGGCCTCCAGCCCCTCCGACCCCACACAGCCTGTACACATCCTATACATCCCGCGCGCGGCCATTTGGGGGTGGGCACCGAGCCCGGGCACACAAAGCGGTACGCTACGGGGGAGGGAAAAAATAAAGGCAAAAGGTGCAATTTGACTCTTCTTTGTCTCATTCGCCAAACGCCTCGCAGAAGGAGGAGGGCGCCGGCCCCAGCCCCGCATCCCCGGCCCCAGCTCCGCATCCCCGACGCGGCCCGCCCGCCCCCGCCGCCGCCGCTCTCACCGGAACCGCTCCTGCCCGGCCGTGTCCCAGATCTGCAGCTTGATCCTCTTGCCCGGCTCGATCTCCACCAGCCTGGAGAAGAAATCCACGCCCACCGTGGGGTCGGAGATCTGGGCGAAGCGCCCCTCGGTGAAGCGGCGGATGAGGCAGG